TGGGCGAGGGGACTCAGGGGACGAGGGAGCAGGGTATTGGCAAGGGGGCAGGAGGGACAGGAGGGAGAAAACAACAACTGGGCGCCAGCTACTTGTTCGGCGTAGCACCGTCGAGTGACCTCAGAAGGTCCTCGAATATTTACACAAACTCGAAATGGCACGGCTAGCAGGGGAAGAGGTGAGGGGGTCTCAGGGAGGAAGGTTCCCGAACGCAAAATGGCTACTTTATAAATTACCTCGGTATCAGAGCGCAAAAAGGGAAAGGGGAAGGGAGAGGGCTCGGGGGTTTTCCAGAAAGGGCGCAAACTACTATAAAACGCACGCAATATACCACGGGCCTCGAGTGTATGGGCAGAAGGCCCGTCGCAAATACAATAAAAGCTAGAAGAATGTCGGACCACGTGGGTCGACTCGCGGTGTCCTGAAGGGACTTGCAAAATCTACAATGCTAATTCTAAGGGGGTGATAGGGAAGGGATGGCAAATATGGAAAACTCAATCACTCTGTACTCACTCAAAACGCTCGTACAACTGATATCCGAAAACACGCCGTATGCACTCACTCAATCACTCTTGTTCGGATCTCTAAATTCGCTCGCGCTCTTTCCGATACCCTGGCTCGAAGTGAAGATTTCTTCGGTGTTTCCGGTCCTCGTTGTTTCCGTCACAGGCCTCCAGGGCCTCGGGGATTGGTGGGTCTGCCCAGCTGAGAGGGCTACGCGCTTTGGCATTGGTCGGCAGTTCCGGCATGGCAGGGCATTGGTCCTTTTCATATTTGGTGGGCTGCCGGGCCTTCCAGGGCCTCGTGGCGGCGGCACGGCGCTGGCTTCGCCGGCGCGCGTTCTGGCTGCGCGCGCCGGTCAATATGGCGGCCTCCAGGCCTGTCACAATCCTCCCGGGCACGTCTGCGGTCTCGGAGGGAGAGGGCTCCGCCGCTGTCACACGGGACGTTTTCCTGCCCGTGTGACGGGACTGCACCGGGGCTTCATCTCTGTGGCGATGATGGCGGGCTGGCGGGCATCATCCCACGGGAGTCTCGATCATCTGTTTGTCCTCCTGCCCATGCCATCCCTGCCTTCCGCTGCCTCGGCGACGTAGCCGCTCTCGCGGTCCATTCAGGGATGCTGTTCCCTCGTGGCAGGTCCACGTTGATGTCCTTCCGGCTGGTGTTGGCTGTGGGTCCTCGTAGATGGTCCCCGAGCCAGTGCCCTACGGGGAAAGGGGAATGGTGGCAGGGAGGGAGGGGGATCTTACTCTAATTACAACAAACCTAAAACAACTAAATAAACGCAATTAACAATACTCAACTCTAAGACGCTATACTCGAGGCCTATGGGACCCCGAGCCAGGAGACGGGGAGGAGTTTATTGTAACATTTTTGTTACAAACTCCCCCCCGCTTAGACGAAAGTACCATTCTAATGGTACTTGAGCAGTCATTCACACGGGGGAGGGGAGAAGGGAAGGGGGGCACTGACAGGGATGATGGGACTAGCAAGGGTACTGATTAAGGGTCTGGTTGGATGGAAAAGGGTTACTCAACACTTGCGCTAAATAATGACGCTAATCTCAAAGGAATAGACCGAATACCGAAAAGAGAAAGAAAACTGAAAATGCCGTTTCATGGCCCAAGAAAAAAAAAACAAAAACAAGGTCCTTAG